GGAGTGCAGTGGCCGCTCCCGCCCACCGCAGCCTCGACCTGCTGGGATCCAGCGATCCTTCCACCTCAGTCTTCCAAGTAGCTGGAACTACAGGCGCATGCTATACATTATTTTCTTAAAGAAGCCCAGTCTAGATCACGTTGTCATGGTACTTTTGGCTGACAACTGATAAGCATCAGGACCCTGGGTTGACCAATGAGGTTTTCTGCCCTGGGGCAAAGGCAAGTTCAAGAATGTTTAGTTACTCTCACTAGCAACAGTTACACAGGGGAGATTATAACCAGATATAGTCAGATTCTTTCTCTGAAAGAACTGAACCCAGAGACCTTATTTTCCTGATGACCTCTAAAGGCAAGTAAGTACATCATCTTCCTCCACCCTGAACCTCCAGAAAGTCTCATACTTGTTTACTGGGAAAGCTTATAATTCACAAGTGAAAGTCATCTTCCTAATTAAAATGTCATCATTTCATTGTGGGGGCCTGGTAACTATGGTGATGCAGGAACTCATCCAGATCAAAATCTCTATCACCTATTTTTGAAAGCTAGTTAAAGCTTGAGGTAATGAAGTCTGTTGCAATCCTGAAAAACCCATAAGGTCTTCTCTCTCTTTTTTGTCTGGTTTCTGTCAGTGAAAGATTCTGAGGGTAAGCAGAAAACAGAGGGAAAGAGAGAAATGGGAGTCAGGGAAGAACTGAAGGTGGTTGGCATACCCAGCCCCCCGCTGTGACAAAGACTGCTTACAGAGTTGAAGAATGTTTTTTCTAACATTATGATGTACTATGCTTCCCCAGAAGATATGCTCTAAATCATGTCTTTCCAAACATTTTGCAAAAAAAGTAGTAGTGATATCACTATTAATCTTTTCCATACAAAATTAATAAGGCTGTGAGGTCAGAAGTTTGTTTATATATTTAGGCAGAAAAAATCAACAGCTCCTCCACAACCTAAATAGTCATTGAGTTTATGACTCTGAAAAGAAAAATTTTGTAATACTGTAGTGAGATTTTGAATACTAAAACCTACAAATAAATGCAGAACACTTAAGCAATTAACTAGGAAAAAACAGAGGAATGATCAAAGAGGTTATCTGCATTTGCTAAAAAAAATTTTGGTTAAGAAAGGAATGCTAAAAAAATTAATTGCACTAACTTTCTTTTAATAAACAATGGTTTCAGATAATAAAGGAATGGCTATTGTCTTAGTCTGTTCCAGCTGCTATAACAAAATACCATTCAATGGGTGGCTTATAAACAGTAGAAATTTATTTCTTACAGTTCTGGAGACTAGGAAGTCCAAGATCAAGGAGTCAGCAGCAATGTGGGTGTCTGGAGAGGGCCAGCTTTCCTGAACTAAACAAGAACTTCTTTTCACTGTGACCTCACATAATAAAAGGGATACGGAGCTCTCTCAGGCTCTGCATAAAATTAGGCATGAGATGATAGGGAAGAGTTGATGAAAACTTCAAAAAGCCTTTTATAAAAGCACTAACTCCATTCATGAGAGTTCTACCCTCATAACCTAATCACCTCCCAAATGCCCACCTTCTAATAACATTATCTTGGGGGCTAGGATTTCAACATAAGAATTTTGGCAGGCCAGGCTCGGTGGCTCAGCCTGTAAACCCAGTGCTTTGGGAGGCCGAGGTGAGTGGAATGCCTGAGCCTGTGGTTTCGAGACCCGCCTGGGCAACTTGGCGAGACCTCATCTCTACAATAAATAAAAAATCAGCCGGGCGTGGTAACACGCGCCTGTAGTTCCAGCTACTTGGAAGGCTGAGGCGGAAGGATCGCTGGAGCCCGGGAGGTCAAGGCTGTGGTGGCCGGGAGAGGCCACTGCACTCCTGTCTGGGTGACAGAGTGAGACTCCAACTCACACACACACAAAAAAAGAATTCTGGCAAGACACAAACATTCAGACCATAGTAGCCATGTGACTAGAGTGACAACATATCTGCAAGTTACAGTTAGATGACTATATAGTTATTACTATGATTTCAGTAAGGGCAGAATTTCAGTAAGGGTAGAATTCAGTGAAGTAGTGACATCAGGAAGCATTCCTTTAACATGAATCAAATAGACATTAACAATTTAATTTTTAAAAATCTCATTGATTTATCAGCCAATAACCAAATCATCTGAAATAATTGAAGACAACAAAGCTGAAGAATTTTGATGTTCTTAGCTACCACTGTTTTTACAATTGGTAAATATAGCACTAAAGACTTGTGCTATTTTAAGTTTTATAATTAATTGATATTGAAAATGATGGCCATCAGCTATATACTCAATAAAAGAGGATCATTAACACTTCTGAGAAACCAAACTAATGTCAGAAACTATTAAAATGCAAGTAAATAGGATTTTTTCCAAAAATTACTTTTTATTTAACATCTACTCAAGCTATGAGCCTGTAAACTAAGTGTGTAACAGTTCATAAATGCAAAAGTACTTTAAAATTATAATACTCTAATTCTATCTTATAGTCTACATTTATAATAAACATTATACATTTAATTGTTTCAATGATTCCTGATAAATGGGAGAATATAATTTGAGAATAAAACACATGTAAGCTGAAGCATGTTTTAATAGGAAGTGGGAAGAGTATTCTAGGCATAAAAAGAGCACGGAGGCGCTAAAGAAGAAAGGAAATTGGGATTGAAAAAACTGAAAGAAACTTTATGAGACAAAGCAGAGAACACAGGAGGAGAGTGGCACAAAATGTGCACGTTTCAATGCTGGTAAGATGAAGACAGTGAAAGGAAGAGGATGAAGATGGAAATGAGAGATGGAAATATCAACAAGATAAGGTTTGAAGAAAATAGAAAATAGCATCTAGACTAGAGCACAAGTGGTAAGAGAGGTCTCTCTGTGAAGCAGAAATTAAGGGCATGTGCTCAGAGTAAAATGGGAATTAAGGCGAGATGAGAAGGTTGATAGAGAGTCGAAAGAATAATTTTAGAGGACTGAAAAATAGAAAGTTGGTCAGAGAATAAAAATTCTGAGGAATACTGAGAGACCAGTTTAGATGAGTCATCATATGGAAACTTCCTTAAAAAAAACCGTCATTACACAAAAATTCCCTTTTCAATATAAATTGCTTCACAAATTGTCAAAAACTTTCAATGTGATTATTTGATAAAACTAGAATAAACTCCTTAGTCTTATAAAAAAAGGAAAAAAGCAGGAGCTCCAGTCCATGATTTTACCACTTGCCAGTAGTGTAATCTTTAATTTCCTAACCTTTCCATGTCTTTGTTTCCTTAACCATATAGAAAGTGGATAATTATATCTTCTTCACAGATCTGTTATTGCAACTGAAGAAAAACGTAAAGTGACTAACACAAAGCCTGGCAAAGAACAGGCATTCAGTAAAGGTTAGTTTCATTCTTAATTCCTAAACTGCCTGTTGACACAGCTGGATGATACCTCTGTCTTGTTGCTCTTCAAGTAGAAAAGGCACTAGCTCCAAAACACAGGCTCTTTCCACTGAGACACCCTCTTTCCAAAGAAGCATTATCTCAGTGACATCATTATTGATCCTTTCAGCTCTACAAAGTCAGAAACCTGACTTTGTTAGAGACTCGGGTCTGAGGAATACAGACACACATAACTAAATTCAGAAATAAATTTACACACAAGACTTACAGTAAACTCTGTGAATTGAACCAGAATGTTAATGCTGGCAGATCAGTATATTTTCTCCCTTTAGGAAAATTATGCGACAAGTCACTAAGGTATGAATGTTTGTGTTCTCCCTAAATTCATATGTTGAAATTCTACCCAACAAAATGACAACTGATGATATCAGGAGGTGGGACGTTTGGGAAGTGATTAGGTCCTGAGAGCACACACCTTGAGAATGGGATTAGCACCCTTATAAAAGAGGCCTGACACTTTGGGAAACGGGAGACAGAAACAAGAGGGATTGCCTGAGATCAGGGGTTTGAGACCAGCCTGGGCAACTTGGAGAGAGCTCATCTCTATAAATCAAAAAATTAGCCAGACTTGGTGGCACGCGCCTGTGGTTCCACCTACTTGGAAGCGTGAGGTGGAAGGATCTCCTGAGCCCAGCAGGTCGAGGTTGCAGTGGCTATGAACATGTCACTGCACTCCAGCCTGGGAGACAGAGTGACACTCTGACAATACATACATATATACATACACACATATATACATACATACATACAAACATACATAAGAGTCCTGAGAGAGCTCATCTGTTCCTTCCACCATGTGAGGACACATCAAGAAGGCACCATCTGAGATACAGAAAGTTGGCCCTCACCAAACAATCTGCTGACACCTTGATCTTAGACTTCCCAGTCTCCAGAAATGTGATAAACTTCTGTTGTTTATAAGTCACCCAGTTTATGCTGTTTTTGTTATAGCAGCCTCAACAGCCTAACACAGCTGCCAAATTATACTCAGAAGGTTACTTTATACATTTAAGTAAGACAAATGAATTGAATATCATTAATGATTAATGTTAATAAACTATCATAATATGATCCATGTGGTCTTATAAAGAAATAAGATTCCTATCCACTGAGTAGAATCTATCCTCCCATTAACTATGCTAAGATATACAGTAAAATTGTAGCTCCTTGTCCTGTTATTTCTAAGATCTATGCAGACCACTCCACATGGGTACATACACATTACTTTTTATACTTTTTTCTTATCTTTTTAACATAATCTCATTGATTAGAAACAGTCAACTGGCTAAAGAACAGCAGTCATCTACTTTAATAAATCTTTTGATTAAGTTCATACAGTCTGAACATATAACAAATCTATTAATATTTAAGGAATATTAATTTCCTAAAGGTTTGTCGATCTCTTTTAATTCTTAATATGAATTTTTAAAATGAAGCAAACTCAAATTTAACAACTGTTAAAACATAAAAAATAATCAAATATATTTTTTGAACTCAAAGTCAAATTTTATCTGTATTATAACACCTTTCACATTAAAAAAGTGACAGTATTTTATTACCTGAGTCTCCACACCCTGTTCCAATAGGCGCTTAGCTTGATTTTCCACTTCAAGTCGAGCTCTTGCAATAAAAAGTAGATCATTTTCTATTACTTCTATTCCAGAAAGATCTATTCCTTGAGACAGATAATCTGTTTTAAAGAACACATACATTTAAATATTTCAGTACTGAAAAAAACACCAAGGTATCAAAATACCATGTCTAACTTCTTAAGAAAAACTATAGATTTGCTATTAAACATGGTTCTCTTTCAAAATTCATTTAAAAAATCATTTCTCAAATATTTTCTATTTAATAAATAACCTTACTTGTAGCTAAATGTTCCAAATAAAACAAAGTTGATAAAGCAAGAATATAAATAATGATTATTATAGGCTTAAGGCGATGATAACAGATCACATTTAAAAAAATTAAATTTAGTAGTTTAATGTCAATAGATATTCTGATGATTTCCAGAAAGTTGTCAAGTTGCAAGTAAAGCTATCATTTTCTTTTCTTTTCTTTCTTTCTTTTTTTTTTTGAGTTGGAGTCTCACTCTGTCGCCCAGACTGGAGTACAGTGGCTGCTCCAGGCCACCGCAGCCTTGACCTGCTGGGCTCCGGCGATCCTTCTGCCTCAGCCTTCCAAGTAGCTGGAACTACAGGCGCGCGCTACAGACCAGCTAATATTTTGATTTATTGTAGAGAGGAGGTCTCGCCAAGTTGCCCAGGCAGGTCTCGAATCCGTGGGTTCAGGCAATCCACTCACCGCAGCCTCCCAAGGCGCAGGATTACAGGCTGAGCCACTGAGCCCGGCAAAGTTGTCATTTTCTAAGAGATAGAGGTCTCACTATGTCTCCCAGGCTGGAGTGCAGTGGCTACTCACACATGTGATCATATCCTTGAACTACTGGGTTCAAGGGATCCTCCCACCTCAGTCTTCTGAGTAACTGGGACTACCATGTCCAGCTTTTTTTTTTTTTTTTTTTTAAGAGACAGAGTCTCACCATGTTGCCCAGACTGGTCTCAAACTCCTGGCCTCAAGTGATCCTCCCACCTTAGCCTCCAGAGTAGCTGGGATCCAGAACTTTTTCAAAAGCAAACAATGGCCTGTATCAGATTATCTACGCATCTCTGGCTTTCACCTCCCCATTTACCCAAATCACATTTATGCTCAATTTAAGAAATAACCAAAAGACATGCTAGATTTGGAGTATAAAGGGTACTACTCCATATTATTTTACTTAATGATCAAACCTGCTTTTCATTAAGAGATAAATGTAGCAACAGGAAACAAAAACAAATTAAAAAAAACAAAAAACTCCAGTGCCTGCTCCCATCCTCCCTCCCCACCCCCTACCACCTCCACCTCCTCCCCTGAGAAGAGAGGTATTATGATACTAAATTCTTTCCATTCATTCATCTGTTGGGGACAATCACTATCTTTAAGTCAAGCACATCTACAGACTAGAGTCAAGGACAAAAAAGATAATGGTAAGTCTAATGACAGCAACTAGCAATTGTAAAAGTGTGGCAGGTAAAAGACATTAAGCTAGACACAAAATACATATTTATTATTTCAATGCATGTATCTATTATTTGTAATTTTCTAAACAACCTTACTAGAAATATTATTCTCATACCTAGATGGAGATACTAAAACCCCCCAATTTTAAGTAACCAGAACAAATTACCTGGCTAGTAGCCAGCAAAGCAGAATTTAAATCCTAGTCTGTCTGACCCCAATTTTTTCACCAGATCATCCCAGGCTGATCCCACGAGCCTCAGAGAGGAGAGAGTTTTATATTCAAAGGACATATAGTATGACTTCAATATTCTTATTTCCTCATTGAAAGAGTAAATATATAAAAAATCATATCAGATATACCAGGAAATTAAATTTAGCCAGGTTAGAACAATGACAGTATTAAATAACTAGCATTTTGAGTTTCATTAAAAAATATATGTATAAAAGTTTAAAAATATAAAAAATGCTGGCCGGGCACAGTGGCTCATGCCTATAATCCCAGCACTTTAGAAGGCCAAGGTGAGAGTATTGCCTGAGTTCAGGGTTTCGAGACCAGCCTGGGTAACTTGGTGAGACCTTAGCTCTATAAAAAATCAAGAAAAATTAGCTAGGTGTGGTGGCGCACGCCTGTAGTTCCAGCTGAGGTGGAAGGATCCCTGAGCCCAGTGGGTCGAGGCTGCAGTGGCCATGAGCGTACTACTGCACTCCAACCTGGGCAAGAGAGCGAGAATTCAACTCAAAAATAAAATAAAAATATAAAAAATGCTAAATTTTGAAATATGCCGGTATTACATTATAACAATTACACCTTAATAAGTGTGACATGCACAGCCAGAACTAACTTCCTAGTCACTTAATACTAACATACCTTCATGTACCAAAAACATATAGCAGGAAACTAAATTGATCTATTTGAATTGAATGTATTTATCATTTCCCTAGGGAAAAAACTATGAAATTAGTGCTTTTAGTGGAAAATAAATAATATTAATCATCTCTGTTTACTTAAGCAAAGAAAATGCTAATCTAGTAGATTAGAGAAAAAGGAATTCAACCACATCAGTCATTTTACTAGACTTTCAATGTTCTAATCTATACTACTTATGGCTACCACAATAAACATTCTTATAGTTGTTCTCCCATTCATGAACCCCTGGCTTCCTGTCAGCTAACATTTTCTCTATTGTGCAATACAAAATTTCCATACTTATTCCAAAATCCCCATTGACTCTTCCCTTACTAGCCTTCTCCTCTGTTTAAAACAAAAAGAAGTGTAATTATAGTTTGTTAAATGATTCAGCTATGCATTTACATTTCATTATTATGTTAGCACTAAATTAATTATTTAGGGGAAAAAGGATGAAAGAAGGGTGCAAGTATGAAGTTGGGATAGTGCTGGAAGTTGGATGAAATGAACAAAGCTCAATCTTCATGATCCACAGTAGGGAGTCAAAGAAGTTGAAAATTAAAAAGTAGAAACACAAACAGATTATTGAGCTATGGGGAGGAAAATACAAAAAAAAAAAATCAGCTAATATATGTTGAAAATGGTTGCTTTTGAGAAAAAGCAAATGGGGTGAAGAAGAGGGTAGGAGGTTGCCTTTTTTTTTTTATTTTTTGAGTCGGAGTCTCACTCCATTGCCCAGACTAAACTACAGTGGCACACTCATGACCACCCCTGCGCCGACCTGCTGGGCTCTGGGATCCTTCCACCTCAGCCTTCAGAACTACAAGTGCATGCTACCACACCCAATTAATTTTTTAAAAATTTTTATTGTATAGACAAGGTCTCACCAAGTTGCCCAGGCTGGTCTCAAACCTGAGAGCTCAGGCAATCCATTCACTTCGGCCTCCCAAAGTGCTGGGATTACAGGCTGAGCCACCAAACCCAGCCTGGAGGTTGCATTTTAACAAAACTGATAGGGTAGGCAGGTTATACTAGGAAAACTTCAGGGTTGTAGAATGCCTTCAGCAGCCAGTGCAGAAACAGGCATAGAAGCAGGCAGCCCAGCTATAGGAAACTTCACACCTTCCTATTAGGCTCTTAGCAAATACTCCTGCAGCACTATAATCACTTATCCAGGATGCTCTGGGGATATGACCTTCAAGGCAGAAACACTTTAGAGATCCCCCAGAACAAGCGCATCAACAACCAGCATTGACCTAAGATAACCATAAACCTTCACTGTAATACTATTAACATAAATTACCCTGGGGGAGCCTCCACTTCCATCATACACCTGATGTCAAGACACTATCAGTTCAGTCCTTCTCCTGACTGGAGAGAGGAGTAACAAAGACTCAACCCTAAGGCCATCCATTTCTAGGGAAAGCCTGCCCCAGAACCCACTCCTCAGTACCTCTAAAAATAAGTTATAGCTCAGCAGTAGTAGGGTGCAGAAGCAGCAGCTTCCTTGAGTTGATTCTGCCCGCCCCCTTTCTAGGGAGTGTACGATTCTTTGCTTAATAAAGCCACTTGCATATTCCACTTCCCTTTGTGCCTGTTTGTAAACTCTTCCAAATTGGAACACAAGAACTGATTGTCAATTTGTTGTCAACTGGTTGTTCTGCCTCACACCAGGAGCAGCACCCCTTCTTTCGGTAATAGAACAATTTGAGTACATTATACTTGTATAACTTTCATAATAAATAAAACTAAATTTAAAAAGTAAATAGGAAGTCAAGAAAAATAATACAAAAATTAAAATAAGGGGGCTACCCAAATAGAAAGAAAACTTATATCCTCTAAATCAATGATTCTGCTTCTGGCAATAAATGATAATCTTTAAAAAGGAAAAAAAAGTGAATATATTTGGCCAGGAAGACATTTACCACAGGAAGACATTTACCATAGTGTTAATTCTGATAGCAACATACATATATATGGATATATGTATGTGCCTATGCATGGATATATGTATGTAGACATATGTGTGTATATAAACATTGTAAATTAGTAAAAATCACTTTGGAAAACAATCTTAGACTGCCTGATAAGGTTCCATATGAGTATCTCCCTATGGCCAAAATATTCCATTCCTAGGCACATATAACCCAGGGAAGTTCTAATATATGTATATCAAAAGACATTTACAAGAATGTTCACAGTAGTATTGTTAAAAACAAAACAAAGCTGAAACTCCAAATAACCATCAACAAGAGAACATATAAAATAGCAATATATTAATTCAAAGTACTACTATAAAGGAGTAATAATAAACAAATGACAACTATATGCACATCAATATCAATGACTCTGAATAACATAATATTGAGGGAAAAGAATGAGTTTTTGAGAATACATAGCAAGAAGTAATTCATATTTTTAAGAAATTTAAGACTAAACTATATTATTTAGGACACACACAAATATTAACAACATTTGGAAAAGTAAGCAAAAATAGAGTCTACAATGTGCTTCTAATACACTAATTCTTAAGTTTGGTGGGCAGCAGTATAGCTAATTTATGTTAAAAATGTGTTTTTCTTAACTTTCATAATTTTTCATTACACATCAAATAAGTATGAACCAATGGCACAGATTAGAGTATTATTAGGACATCACAACAATTATTAAAACTGTATTTCCTATATTCAAAAGAAAAGACTGAACATATCAAGGAA